TTGGAGCGACACGAGGCTGAACTGTGATTATTAGAGAAACAAACCACAGCGTGACTCGTCTGAAACGCTCGAGCGGTTCTTTTACGATGCTAGCTGATGGCTCGCGGCAAACTGAAGCTGCTGCTAACTTCTGAATCTGTTTTATGGTGTTGTGAATCTTTTATTGCTGTTGTCCTTAATTAAATTTCCTGTAGGTAAACCAGCTGCTCTGAGGGGTTCCTGCTCCAGATGCAGCAGATGTTTGGACTGGTTTCAGCTAGGACACCAAATATTCCTACTGTATGACAGTGCAGCCGTCTGCTGTGTGTTTACAGGCAGGCTGTTTACCAACATTTTATCAATAATTCTCGCTCTCTTTGTTTTCTTGATGCCTTTTTTTCTCAGTGATCCTTCGTTAAATCACACCAGGAGGAGACACTCGTCTGGAAACATCTCTACCACCCTGGAAATGCTGCCGGGGCTTGAGGGTTTTCACCTGGACACCTACGGCAGGGTAGAAAATGTGGACCTACTTACATGGATACATGCTTTTATGATCCAAAACAGTTTCTTGTGCTCATATCTCAGTTTAAATCATCTTTCTTTGTCAGTCTGTGTCATACGCACAGTTCCTGTACCCCACTAACGCGCTGGTGAGGCAGAAGCCGTCGTCTGCCAGCGACCTGACGCTGCAGATTCCCGTTTCCAGGAGCACACACAGCATTCCGGGCAGGAGCTACCCGTCCAGCCGGCTGAGCAGCACCGTGGGACTGGATCTGGGTAAGAAATGGAACCGAGCTCAGTCACAGTGTGCACGTCTCCTAAAAATAATAATGATTCTTTTTTTCTAACAACAGTTTAAAACTGTTAAAAATTTCACCAAAGATGTGGCCATTTATTTGATGTAATGTAGATAATTACTGACATCAAGCCACAGACACAGTTAAAGGATTTTATCATGTTAAAGGGAACAACAAAAACACGTCTGTTTATGGTTCAAACTGTGAAAGCTGTGATTTATCCCTCTGACCACAGTCATGGTGCATCAGGACTCTGAGCGACGTGACTGATCTGTTTCCTTGAATTCTGAGATTTCAGAAAAGAGGCTGAACTGTAACTGCTCAAACATTTCTGGATTGAAATGCTAAAGAAGGATGTAACGTGAGGAAGAGAAAACAAACACGGGATGCTGGGATGAAGAGAGCAAACGAGAGCTGCTGCAGCTGTGCTGGAGCATCATCCTCTTTATATTTTAAACACATGTGTATGAGCATGTCCTCACATCCTGTGTCTGTAAACGCACACATCCACAGTGACAGAGCCCTGAATTAGCCTCTGAACCCCTCTTTCTAATCCACAACCTTTCATTAACACAATACAGCTGTGTGTGAGCGCGAGGCCGGGCGCAGCAGGTTCGATATTTTTAGTCCTCTTGTGACGTTTTTCTGTAGACTCGCAGCTCTTAAGACTGACATGATTGCACCTTATTTGTTAAGTACTGACAGAAACACCAAAGACTCGTTTACTCAGAGTTATAAATGGCATAATGTTTTTAGCTGTTGATTAGTACAGAGCTGCTCTTGTACCTGTGCATAGATGCTTGGGCCACTGGTAGCACTATGAAAGAAAGCCTGGGCACCTTCACAGTTGGTGGCAGCAGAGGGCCAACAAACACTAAATGGATTAAATGGTGATTGGATGATGAAATGCTCTTTAGGCCATAATATGAAACCAGATGAAGGCTTGGTAAAGTTCACAGGTGGTTCTCAAATCCATTTTGTCTTTTGATTCCAGAGGAAAAAAACAAGACAATCTCTGCAGATGTCAGAATGATAGATTTTGGTGCTGCTGCCATTTTCAGATCACAGCCAGTAAGCTCTTTTTCGATCACCTGAACCTGTACAGCGGACGTTATGTGCTGGATCTCCACCACTGCAATTTCATTTTGGGGAAACAGGACCA